ATCAATGTACAATGATCAACAAATTATAATCAATGTACAATGATCACAATAAATTATAATCAATGTACAATGATCAACAAATTATAATCAATGTATAATGATCAACAAATTAGTTCAAAAGCAAACTACCATCTTATTGTATCATCTTTCAATCTCTTTGTATAATCTTTCAATCTCTTTGTATTATCTTTCAATCTTTTTGATAATAAAAAAACTTGTTTTATATATACACAAATGTTTAAAAATGATTTCAACACTGAACAAAATATTACTACATTACTACTGTTTTATTAAAACAGTATTTGATGATTATGATTTAATATGTTGCACAGCAACAATTGAAATAATAATGAATGAACAATATGTTAAAGTGTACTTAGAATTATTAAAAAGTATGATCAATTTTTGTTTTTTTTTTGTTTTTTCATTATTATTTTTCTATTTACACCTTGAAGCCTTATTTCAAATATGCATTTGTTGTTTCTTTCTCATTTAATATTCCCTCTTCTTTTTCTATCACACGTTTATCGTTTACTTGAAACTTTTGTATTCACGTATAAGATGTACAATATACGATTTCATAATGTTGATGAAAAGCAAGTACGATAAGCATAAGATTGTATTATTATTTATATATATATATATATGTATATATAAATACTTTTTTAAAATTGTTTTCTTTAACAAGCACGTTTTAAAACACTGTCAACGACACTTAACACAATTCTTTCGAAAAGGGAATATTATAATTAGTTTGCAAAATGATATAAAATAAAACAAATAATATTGAAATTGTTTTTTTTTTTTTTTAACTTCGATGCATGATTTCAACGTCAAACCTGATTATTATTATTATTATTATTATTATTATTATTATTAATAATAATTGTCATGGGAATTAATACTTTTTGATATATATATATATATAATATTATTATTTAAATAATAGAATTATGTTGGGTGCCATTTGACGGTTTTTGTTTGTCTCTTATCTCAAACCTTGGGATCCTTCGTTGTTAATTATTAAGACACTGGTAAGAAGATATATATATATATTTTTTTTTTTGTAATAAAAGGCTTCCAATGTAAGAGGAAGAGGACTGACAAAATTCTTTCTTTTCTCGTCCATACGAACTTGTCCTTGTTTGTTTTGTGAATAAAACTATAATATGTTCTACACAATTATAATACAACTTTTTTTTTCTTTTTTTTTTTTACAATGAAAAACAATGGTAATCGTAATAGTATACTTCTTTGATGGAAGAAGAGACAATTGAGTAAAAAGAAAAAGAAAAAAAAAAACAAAGAAAAATTAAAAAAGAAGAACAAGTTAGATTACCCAATAAAGAAGCAGCGACAAACAACAACAACAACAACAACAACAACAACGGCTTCGCAGCATTCTTTTCGCTCGTAATAATCGAATTTTTGTTTTAGTACACAACTTCGTTCATGAACAACGACGATAGTAAATAGTAATAGTAATAGTAATAGTAGTAATAATAATAGTAGTAATAGTAATAGTAGTAGTAGTAGTAGTAGTAACTCGACAAAAATTTCACAAATTTCTTTTATTTCCAATGGCTTTTGAAATAGTTGTCTTTCAAATAACCGGCATAAATTCAAACGTCGTCGACGATTTAACAAAAGCCAGTCAGAGACAACACGTCGACGATCTCATCACCGTAGACTATAATTTTCTTCTCATGGATTTATCTTTCTCAAGTGAAACAAACATACCGAAATCCATGATTACACATTTTTTATCCATAGATCAAACGAGATTAATCTCGTTTTTCGTCGATTATTCCTTTCAGGTCGTCCCAACCCCTTCTTCTTCTTCTTCTTCTTCTTCTTCCTTTGGATGGTGGTCACGACATTTGTTTCTTCTCATATTAACTCATTTTTCAAGATGATCCATTAGGTGATCACTAACATCTAACGAGTATCGCTTCATTTTGCCTCATCTTGTTCCATCGGTTCTTCTGAGACTTCTCGGGAATGATCCGGTGTAGTTCTGTAAACAACAATAAATTAATATGTGAAAATAATGCAAATTTAATCTGTTAACTAGGTGGGACGTATAAATACGTCAAACATATTACTTTAAAGCTAATGGTTTAAACCTTTGTACTTTATATATAAATAAACATAAATAAATAATAATAAAGCTGCATAATTAAAAGAATTCCCCGGTTAACAGATTAATTTCAAAATATATATTTATTTAATTAATAATACATATTAATTAAATAAACATATATAAATTTATTATATAAAAATACAATACATACTAGTATAGCATATAATACATATATAGTATAATATATATGTTTCTGTATTTACACAGGTAAATTATATATAATAAAATTCACGGTTGTGTGAATAACTAATAAAACCTAACCTCTCTACTTACAAGGAAATAAATTTGATTATTAACATTCCATAAAACCAGGTAAATTGTATAGAAAATTCACGGTTGTAAATAGTTAATAAAACCTAACCTCTACTTACATGGAAACAAATTTGATTATTATCATTCCACTAAATCCTTCATATATATAATTGTTTTATAAAATAACAGTTAAAAACTATTATCGGCTCTTCTTTATGCACACTAGTCCAATTAATCACAAATTAATTATTTACATTTTCTTATTATAATATTATTTGTCTCTCTTTATCTATCACTTTAGCTGTCACTGATTAGAACGATTGAATAATCGATTTCTATCGATCTCGCTATTCCTCTTCCTAGGAATGCGCGGCAAATTCAAACGAAAGAAAATGTACTTTTCTTTATATATAATTGATTATTAATATTTTATTAATTATTAATATATTATTAATATATATATATATATTATTATTAATAATTAAATAATAAATAAATAATACAAAAAAGCTACGTAATTAAAAAGGGAATTCCCTCTATGCTTCTTCCTACGAATGCGCGGCAAATTCAAACGAAAGAAAATATACTTTTCTTTATATACAATTTATTATTAATACTTTGTTAATTATTATAATATATTATTAATATATATTAATTAAATAATCAAAAATGCTGCATAATTATAAAGGGAATTCCCCGGTTAACAGGTTAATATTTTTTTAACACATTTCAATTGTCAATTTAGACAATTACTTTCATATAGATATTGGTCACCTAAATACTGTCTTTGTTAGATTCTTTTTTTTACATGGGGAAATAAATGATACGTAAACCTACAGAAATAAATTAAAATAATATATGTATAAATTTTTTAAATTTGATACTAACGTAAGATTCGTAGGCTGTTGCATTGAGAGCGAAGCCATCGCAGATACAGTTTCCGTTTCATCGTGTTCCTTCTGACTTGCCTCTATTGCACTCATACCAACAGTATGAGCGAAGAGTTTAACACATTGCCAATGAGACATCTGTTTTATAAGATACAAAAAATAGAATGAAACAAAACAAATTTGATATTTCATTATAAAATAATTGTTATTTTATAAATTACCTGAATGGCTATAGTCTTTTGTAACGTATCAATGGCATTTTGGCAAGGTGCCCGCGTTAGTTCATCTTCTCGAATAGGAGTTGGTTCATCTCCTAACAAAGCTCTTACACATTCCTGAGCAGAATCGCATATTGCTGCTAAATCATAGCCACCTTCCAATGCGAGAACAACCTTACCACCTGCTAGAGTTAACAACTGTTGTGTCATTCTACCGAAACACGCAGGGCTGACCTTGTAACCACCAAGTGGTGCTGGATGACCAACGGCTGCATCAAAACCGGCAGATACTAAAATGATTTCAGGATCGAATACTTTAGCGATCGGCATAACTATCGTACGAAATGCTGCTAAATATTCTGCATCTCCCATTGGTGGATTCAATCCACCAGACCATGCTACGTTAACGTTGTATCCTAAACCTTCTCCGGTACCACATTCTGTTGGTCCTCCCGTACCAGGGAAAAAGTTACCCTCGTCGTGTCGGTGTATGGAAAGATAAAGTACTCTTGGATCGTCGTAAAACATATGTTGAGTTCCATTTCCATGATGAACGTCCTATAAAATGTTCATCAAATGTTAATTAGAAAAATGTCAGGTTTATTAATACCCAGTAATGACAAATACAAGAAAGGTATTATGTTATTACCCAATCAACAATTAATATCTTTCTGATGTCGAGTTTTTGTTGTAATAAACGAGCAGCGATTGCTACAGAATTAAAGAAACAAAAGCCCATCGCTTGATTACTCTCCGCATGATGTCCAGGTGGTCTAACTACAGCAAAACCATTCTTGATGTCACCCATTGCTGTTTTCAAAGCGAGATCTACGACACATCCTACTGCCATTCGTGCTGCAGGTGCGGTGTTTAATTCGTTCCACGTTGTATCAGAATCAACGCCTACTCCTCCGCAAGGTAATTCAATAATCGGTAATTGTGGAAACTTCGTCATGTCTAATTTCTGACGACTCATTGGATTCGTTCCTGTATAAAAAGAATATTTGAATATTTAGAAATGTACGTGGTGTTTTCATATAAACAAATATTTATAATTAATTACTACCGAATAAAAGTGTGTGAGCCTCGCTGTGACAAGTTTGAATTTCTTCTAGTGTAGCTTGACGTGAACGAACTCTACTGCAACGCTGAGATAATCCTGTTTCTGATAGTCTAGCCCAAACACTCTGTAATCTACCGCCATGTTCAGGATGGCCCCTTACAGTTTCACCACAAACACAAGCGTGTTTTAACATCAATTGATCATATGCCAGTCCTGTGTTAGCTCGATGAGGAGAACCCCGAGCAAACATATCACCACCGCCACCCTGAGGTCCTTCGTGAAAGTTCAAATCAATAATTATATCTTACCAGTTCCTTCCAAAGAATATCCTCTGGTTTTATTCATCAACATTAGCATCATCATCAAATATCTCTGGCTTACCTAAATGTACCAACGGACTAGAGAGAGCTCTGGAAAGTGGTCTGGATTGTGAACTCCTGCCACCGGAATAGGCCGTAGACTCGTTCGTCTGTAAGGTATGTCTCATCATCAGATCTCTCTGTTGTTGCAAAAATTGTTCACGATCCCTCTGTTGTTTCGACATTTCACTTTCCTCCGACAAATCTTTTTTCCCCGTAAGATCTATCACTTCGGATTCCTCACTTTCCGGTGCTTCATCCAACTGATTCGTCTGTCCACGTGAACTGACACGCGTTAATACGGTCTGACGTATCTGTTGTTTCAAATAATTATGAGCTTGTTGTTGATCATGTTGATGTTGTTTCTCAATAAGGTATTCCTCGTAATGAGCTGGTGGTGCCATCATACCACTTTGTAACATTGGATGACCAAGAGGTAATGGAGCGGATTGAGTTCTACCTGGATGATGTTGGGAAAGAGAAAAATGCAAATTAATTGAAATAGAATAACTTGATAGTGTTGCAATAACTCGTTAATGTGCATGCTGTGTTTTTTTTTTGTTCTTTGTTCATCGTTGATTCTCCCCAACGAGCCTCTCTCTTCTTCTCTTTTATTTTTTTTTCTTTGTTCTTGTTGTTTTAACGAAGGAACATAGCACACACACACACGTGGAATTGTTTGTTAAGGGAAGAAAGCGAAAACATACTACCTAAAGGCCGGTGACTAGCCTTCTGCAGTCTTGTATGTGCTACTTGTGTATCCGTAATTGGATATACCGGATGTTGTCTGCTGCCTACTGACACTTGTTCCAAATTTTGCATTTGTTTGTGAATATATGTAGGATCACCATCGATTACCGTTAACGATGGATAAAATGGTAAGGTCCCTGGTAACATTTGACCGGTCAACGGCATACCAAGACGAGCTGTAAAAGCAGCACGAACTTCTGCTTCCGATACAGGTGCTAATTTAGATCCACTCTGCTGTGAAAATACATAATGTGAAAATGATACACCTTATATGCAATTACATAACAATCTACGAATGATTTATTTATATTTATTATATAATTTAGGTTAGGTTAGGTTAGGTTAGATTAGATATATTATTAATTAATATATGATTTGTGACATAACCTAAATTGATTATTAAATAAATAATTGTATTATTTTTGAGACTTACAGCTGAACTGGATGGAATTTGTGGTCTACCCAATGAAATATTGGGCATGGACGGTGAACTAAATAATGAAAGATCCGAAAGACTTCCTTGTTGACTACTACTTGTCAAAGGACCACCATAACTCGTACTTTCACTTTCCTGTACAATCAATGTAGAATTTCAATGAAATTGTTTTTAACACTTTTTTCTTTTGTTTTAAATCTAATAATAATAATAATGATAATAATTGTACCTCTTGTATTGCGGTGTTACTTCCAGCAGTTGGACTTGCTTGAGAATTATTGACAGTCGGTGGTGAGTTAGGCCCCGATTCTGGATTACTACCAGCATCTGAAAATGATCCAGTTTTATGTTTTACATTAACATAAAAACTGTTTATTATAAGCATTAAAAATCAAAATTGATTTTCAAAAAATTGATCGAATATAAATTAAAACCGAAACAAAACAAAATATATGTATATATATATATATAAAATATATATGAATATTTGTTTTGATTTAAATGGTACAGCGAAATGGCGCGCGAATTCGAATCGAAATTGCATTGCTTTTAAAGTAACAATAAAATAAAACAGAAAAAAAAGGAAAGAAAATTGCGTGTGATAGCCTCCTCACCGTTAAAAGATAATTATCTACATCAGATGCTAAAAAAGAAAAAGAAAAAAGGAAACTCGAAATTGTTTTTTTTTAATAATCATCTACATATACAGATACGTGTGTGTTTGTGTAATAATAATATAATTAATAATATATCGTAATATGGTAATTATAGGAAGTTTGTTTGTTTTTTTTTTTTCATGCTGTTAAAAACTTGACAAAATAGCATATAAATCAACAAGTCCAACAAGTCCAAAAAACGATAAAATTAAAAAAAAAAAAAATAATAAAATAATAATAAATAAATAAAAGGGAGGTAAAGGAAGATATAAATAAAAATATAAAACAAACGTAATGGTGGTAAAAACGTAAACGTAACTCGAAAAGAAAATTAAAAAGGATGAGAGAGATAGATAGATAGATAGATAGATAGATAGATAGATAGATAGATAGATAGATAGATAGATAGATAAAAGAAGATAGAAATAGATGAGCGGATAGAGATAGGGGTGGGGGTAGTAACAAAGTTTACAAAAATAAAAAAAAATAAAATAACAAAAGTAATCAAATGAAATATATATAAAAAGAAAAGATAACAATAACGGTAATAATACTGGCGATTGCTGCTACTATTATTATTACTATTATTATTATTATTATTATTATTAATAATTACAATCATGATTATTATTATTGTTATTATTATGACTATGGCAGTTTATGATTAATCAAAACAATAATAATAATCATGATAATTATTAATACTATTGTTATTGTTATTATTATGACTACGGCTAGTTTATGATTAATCAAAATAATAATAATAATAATAACAATAATAATAAGCTAATAATAATAGTAATAATAATAATAATAAGAACAACACGGGTGCAACGAAATTTCGGCGAATGCTCACGCGCGGAGGAGGATGTTCTTGCGAGTTCGTCCGAAGACGGTCCTCTTGATCGTAAAATGAAGATGACGTACTTGCTAGTAACGACTTCCGCTTGAGATGCGACAGAAGACGATCCTTCCTTCTTGCCATCAGGGGCGAGTGCCGCAATGCCGCCATATTCCTCTCCACGCGTTGTTTTAATCGCACCTTCAGGTTCGGCTCCGATGCTGGCCAATTTTTAGCCAGGGTTAGTCGGTCATTATCATACCACAGGTTTAAGGGGGGTTGTAAGGGGTTCGGGGTGGGTGTTTGAATTGGTGAAAGAAAATAGTGTTGAACAGGTGGTCGTAGGGTGTAAGAATTTTGGAAGATTGTGTCACGAATTATAAAAGACGCGCGTAATGAAATTGGGTCGATTCAAAATTTGTTTGTTTCGCGTTTTGTTTGTTGGAAAGGGTGGCGGTGGTGGTAGCTGGGGGGTAAAGGGGGTTTCCTATTTTGTTTTTAATTTTATTTGTTTATTAAGTTGATGACGTTAACTAACACGTACGCGGGAAAATGTATACTAATTCTTTTTATTTTATGTTTGTTTGTTTTTTTATTTTTTTTAATTTCACGCACCTCTCTTATCATCAATGAAGATTCTCTCTTGTTTTATTATTTTTTTTTTTTTAATTTGGAATTATTTTTTTCGTAATATTTATTTATATTTGTCTCTCTCTTTGGGGAAAGGCGATTATTAATCTTTTTTTTTTCTTTGTTTATTTTAAATAACATTAATAATTGTCAAAACACACGCTAGATCGAAAAAGGTGCGGACATATTGGCTTATTAAGCGAATAAAAAGAACGGTAAAAAAAAATAAAAGAAAAATAAAAAGAATATAAAAAAAGAGAGAGAAAAATTATTAAACTAGACGAATGAGAGAAAGAGAAAGATAAAGAGAATAAAGAAAAAAAAAAAAGAGAGAGAGAGAGAGAGAGAGAGAGAGAGAGAGAGAAACTATATCAGAAATGAAAGAGATGTGCGTGTAGCGTGCTTTTAAAAATGGCGCATTAAAATGGCGCGGAACCTGTATATATATACATATATATTAAATATTTTCATTTGAATGTAAAATAAAAACAATTCTCACTTTTTTTTTCTCTCGTCAATCGCAATTGTCTAAATCTTTTGCCGAATAAAAAAAATGATAAATAATAAATAAAATAATGAATAAAAAATAAAAAAGAAAAATCATACGCGCGAACGAAATTTGATAAATCGAGCGGGTCAGCCGCCACAAAGCTGGTGATTTGTTTTGCATTTTTGATAAATCGTCATCGTCATCATCATTCATCATTCATCATCAACACAACAACAGCAACAAGGTGTCATGGGGGGGGGCAGGGGTCGAGGGGAAAAGACAAAGAGAAAAAAAAAAACTAAAATCGCGTCAAGTGGCACGCGACTCTTTTGGCAAATCGCAACAACAACAACAACAACAACAACAACAATAACAACAACAAAAAAAAAACAATAAAAAAAAAAGAATAATAATTCCATGCTTTAGTAGGCATTCTATTGGCACACAGAGACTAAAAAAAAAAAAAAAATTCCTCACGTGTGGGTTGCTCACATCAAAACTATATTTGAGAAATGAGATTCTCTCACGGTTTAAATTGATTAATATATAATATACCTGTCTTTCTCAATGGAAAATCATCCCCAAATTTCTCTTGCAACATTTGTGGCATTCGATATGGATGAGATGAATTTGTGTTGCTCGTTGTTTCCGATTGGGGTTGCAACCTGAAAAAGAAAGAAATAAACAAAAACATTAAATGAAAAAAATCAACAACAAGAAATTAATGATACGTTTTTTTATTTTTTTTTATTTTAATATGAAATAAAAAATAATAATTAATTGTTTGTATTGATTATGCAACCAGAATGTGTGCACAACATTTTGTGAACAGAATGTTTTCTATTAAAATCCTGTAATAACTAAATAGAATATCAAATCATCAAGTACTATAATTTCATCAATTTTACTGTAAATATCATATTTTATGTACAAAATAATAAAACAAATTAAATTAAACTTAAAATAAAACTTAAATTAAAATAAATTGTTAAGTAAAATCTATTTTAATAATTACAAAGTAGGATATCAAATCAAGTACTGTAAATTGACACACTGTTTCTGTAAATCCTACATATTTTTCTATACAAAATAATAAAATAAATTTTTCATTAAAATCTATCTTAGTAATACAGTATTTTGTATTACTGTATTATTACAAGCTATACTATATTATTTGTATACTGTAACTATACTATTATAATCAAATCAAGTAGTATAACCCCATCAATGTTGCTGTAACCACCATATTTTTTATATAAAATAATAAAATAAATATTCAACTAAAATTGAGTTTTGTAATACAAAATAATATATCAAATCAAGTATTATAACCTCAAAACAATTACTGACCACCATATTTTCTATACAAATAAAAATAAAATCAATTTTAAACTAAAATCTATCTTTGTAATACAAAACAACTCAAGTAGTATAATCAAATCAAGTACTATACGATAGTATGAACTTCATATAATACATATGAAGTATTTCTATGATAATAAACATCATCAACGATTTAACAGAATAAAAATCACTGTTTACTGAACACCATATTTTCTATACAACACAATCAAATCTAAATAAAATCAATTTTCAATTGAAATCCATCCTTGTAATACAAAACAACTCAAGTAGTATAATCAAATCAAGTACTGTAATCTCATAACTGTTACTAACCACCATATTTCTATACAAAAAAAAAAAAAATAAAAATAAAATAAATATTCAACTAATCTATCCAGTAACACTAACATAACTTTTGATGATATATAATTCATTCAAATTAAAAGCCTGTATAAAATCTTTGTATAAATAATTTCATTATCAAAAGATATGACTAATAAAAAATATGACAAATTTATCCTATGTTTTTATTTAAGTAGAAAATAAATATACAAATGTTATTTGTCTGTTCGAGGACGAGGAAATATTTTCGAGAGCTCGTTGCTCGTAGAGCTAAATGGATAACTGGGCCAGGTTGTGCTATTACCGTTACTCGACGACGACGACGACGACCAAGAAGAAGAGAAAGAACAAGAAGAAACGTGAGGATGGGATGAAGAGAAAGAGAAGGAGAAGAAGAAGAAGAAGAAGAAGAAGAAGAAGAAAAAGGTGATGGTGGAGGACAAACTACCAAGACAAAAATGAAAACGAGTGTAGCATCAAGTTAACCTGACAACAACCAACAACCCATTATAAAACTTAACTTAAAAAACAACTTTAGCTAAATCTTACATTTGACATGGTCTGTAATAATAATATTTAAAAAAAAAAAACAACAACTTAAATAATTAAATAACTAACTAGAATATTACAAGAGATAATAGAAATCCATCCATTTTAGTTGGACCATTGCCGGGGGACTTCCCCCACCTAAAGGAAGAAGAGGACGGGGGAGTAGAGAGTAAGGTGTGTTTGGATCAATTCTCGTGCCAATCGTATAATGAACTTGAGAGTTTGCACGTGTCTCCAATCGTTTTGTTATTTTCTTTCCTATATATATATATATATATATGTATGTATTATACTAGGTTAGACTGTAAAACGTGTAAACGTATCACGTTGGGGGACTATACCTCTATGATATGATATTGTAATAATAATAATAATAATAATAGTACTCTTACGTAATAAGATAAACTTTGTCTAATAGAATAAATAGACGTCCGTGAAATTATTTTTTGTATTTCTTATCTTACTTATTTCCTAAGATATAAATATACATACACACACGTATATATATATAAATGTATATATGTTAGGTTGTCCAAAAATATTCGTGCCAATTTATAAATGCATTATATGAATATACAGTATGTATATATGCATATGTATGTATGTATGTATATTTATAAATACATTTTGAAAATTGTCAAAGTGTTACCTTTAAACTTTATTTTAAAATGTATGTATGTATGTATGTAAATATATGTGTGTGATTTATATATAAAAATATTATGCTTACCAGCTTCTATATCCAGGTGTACCAGGAACAGCACCGTTGGCTGCAGCAGCGGCTTCCCTTTGCTTTTTGTTTACCAGGAAACTCTGTGTGTGTGTGTGTATGTATACGTCAACGATGATGATATTATTATAATATATTTAAAATAAAATATAAAAAATTATATAAAAGAGAATGTTAGATAATAGATAACATTTGACATACCTGAAGACGTTGTTTGACTTCCGTTGATGCAATTGCACTATGATCATGTTTGTCCTTTTTCCTAAGGGCCTCTAATCGTTCCTTTTCCCTCATTTGTTCCTCCAATTGTTTCTGCTTTTCCCAAAGCTACGATTAAAACGTTAACCTCTCATAATGCTCTACTTAAAGTATTATTTTGATTTATAAATTGTTATTATAGATAGATAGATAGATAGTTAGATAGATAGATAGATTTAGTTAATTTAACTTTTGTTAGATATTTCTAAACAACTATGCATGTATTAAAATATAATATAATAATTTATATTAAATATTATTATATATTTTGGAGGTTATGATTTATTATTGTTATACATAACATTAATATTAATTATATTAATTAATATAATATATTATTTTATTATATATTATTATATATTATATTATATATATATATATATATATATAAAAATATGTAATAAAATATTATATATATTTAAGGTTATGTAAGCATTAATTGATATAATATAATAATTTATATTTTAAATATTATATTAACTAATTTAAATATTATAATATAATATTTTATATATATAAAAATAAATAAAATATTATTATATATTTTTGAGGTTATGTATATATTAATTAATATAATAAAATATGTTATTTATTATATTATTATATATTATTATTACTAGAAATAATATATTATAATATAAAATCACATGTAGAAGAAAACAAATACCAATTACAAAAAAATTCCTTTTTTTTTTTTTTAATAATTTAACCTACAATTTCATAATTTATTTATCTACAAAAAAAAAAGAAGAAATAATATAAAAATAAAAATAAAAAAAAATGTAAATAAAAAATAATGAAAAATAATGAAAAATAATTCAACCGAAAATGCATCTCGATATTATTTACATACAAGATAAAAAAACATAAATTAAATAAAAAAATACAAAATACAAATGATCTCAGATTAGATCTTGAACAATCTTCAGATTAGATGAAATCAAATGGAATAAATTATAAAACTAAATTCTAAAAGAAAAAACAAGAAAAAAAAAACAAGTGATGATACACCACTTGTGTTTGCCTATCTAACTGATGATTAAATACAAAACCATAATATTATTATAAGCGCGGGAAAATTAAGAAAATTACAAAAAATAGGAACCACCTGTTTCCACCTGTACGCTCTAAACACCTGCTAGCACCTGTTAGTAGCTGCGTGCGCGGGCGCGTTGCGTTCCCTCACGGCAGGTGAGAGAACACAACACACAACACGGGGAGAGAACAGCACGTGGTGCTGCTCTGGTGTTTGTGGTGGTGGTGGTTTATGTGCATTCGATGCCGAAAATAGCATGGGAAAGAGAAAGAGAGAAAGAGAGAGAGAGTATAAGAGAGAGAGAGAGATAGAGACACCGTTATAAAATAAAACGTTGTCGTTGTGTTGGTGTCATGCTCGTTACGAGAGAACTCTAAGAATAAAAAGGCTTGCAATTACGTCAAGAAACGTCGTAGTTGTGTAGTTGCTACTCTCTGCTGTTTCTTACTACTCGACTGTATAATTCTCTGCTTTCAAATTAACACCCACGTTCTTTAAACACACACACATATACATATATATACAAACATAGGATGCATTATACACTTATGAGTAAAATGATATCACGATGATAATATTAGATTTTTATCTCTCATTTGTCTATCTCATTCTCTGTTTCACTCTTTGTTTTTTTGTTTTCTTTCCTCTTTTATATTTTGCAATTTTCTTAACTCGTTAAATATATATATATATAAAAAAAAAAAAATACATACATAGTAGTAATTGAATTGATAAATATAAAGGTAACATAACCAACAAAATAATAATAATAATATTTGTATAATATGTTAAATCTTTGTATTTTGAGGATAGTTGGAACATAGGTTAAAAATCAGAACATATTTTTGTTTTGAATTTATGAAAATTTTGTTTAAACTGTATAATTATTTTAATTTATATTTTATTTATATGTTATTAATGAATTGTTTATAATTATTACGATTTTATAGTTGGTAGGGTTTAGTTTATGTGTTACAAATGTTTAATGTGTATGTTGTGATCGAGGTGGTTTAAATACAAAAATATTATTATATATTTAGAGTTTTGAGGTTATGTAATTTTGTATTTCATAGTTACTGAAAGAAGTTCTAATAAAAGGATAAGAGAGAAAAGTTCAACATTGATCAAAACAAAAATGTTCTGATTTATTTTTTTTTTACCTCTCTCTGTGTGTGTGTGTGTGTGTGTGTGTGTCCAATTTACCTGTGATACAAAGTTTTTTTTTTTTTTTATATTATTTTATTTTGTGAAGAACGTGAAAAACAATTAAACAAAAATATCTGATTGCAATTACGAGTTTTTACACGACGAATTTTACACGACGAGTATATACGTCTAACGAACATTTAATTGATTAATTTTGTATCAATTGTTTAATTAATAATACGATGATTATTAATTAATCTTCCCTCTCAATCTTCTTCTATTTTTATTTGAACGATTTTATTAGTTTCTTTATTATTATTATTATTATTATTATTATTATTATCATCTTCATTGTCTTCGAAGTTGATTTGTTGTCTCTCTCTCTCTCTCTCTCTCTCTCTCTCTCCCTTTTTCTCTTTTTATTTCTCTCTTCATTCTTATACTGACTTCTTCACTATAAAATGGCTGACATAACGACATAAAACAATGAAAGGAATATTCCATACGGACTTTCGACTCTTCGTGGAGTATAAATTCATATTCTTATTCTTATTCTTATTCTTATTCTTCTTCTTCTACTTCAGCATCATCATCTTCTTCTTCTACTTGTTTTTTTTTTTATTTTTTTTTTTTTTTCGTATGAATGAATCCGACATTTTAATATTATTGTTTAATACGTGTGAATAATTTATACGATAACACTGTGTATTATTATTAATAATAATATGTATGATTTATTTCGATTCGTGATTCTTTTTATTTTTGGTATTTATTTTGATTCATGATTCCTTTTTTTTGGAGAGGGGGGAGGGAGGGATTTATTTTGATTCATGATTTCATTTTTTTTTGGGTACTTATTTATTTTGATTTTGTATTTATTTAGTATTTATTTTGATACATGGTTAACATTTTTTTGGTACTTATTTTGATTTTGTATTTATTTAGTATTTATTTTGATTCATGATTCCGTTATTTTGTATTTATTTTGATTTTATATTTATTTAGTATTTATTTTGATTCATGATTCCATTATTTGGGACTTATTTTGATTAATGATTCCTTTTTTTTTGTATTTATTTTGATTCATGATTCCGTTATTTTGTATTTATTTTGATTAATGATTCCTTTTTTTTTGTATTTATTTTGATTCATGATTCCTTCTGGTTTTTGTATTTATTTTCATTAATGATTCTTTTTAATTCTTGCATTTATTTTGATTCACGATTCCATTTTGTTTTTATATTTATTTTAATTATTGATTCCTTTTATTTTTTTGGTATTTATTTTGATTCATGATTCCTTGTTTTCTTTTTTTTGGTATTTATTTTGATTCATGATTCCTTTTTTTTGTTGTATTGATTTTTCTTTTCAATTACGAACGAGTCAAAAGAAATACGTAATAAATTATTATTAAATACGATTCTATTTTTTATTTCGAATTTATTTTTTTTAAATTATTAACAAGTCAAAACAAAAAAAATTATTATTAAATTATTATTAAAAATCCGTGACTCTATTTTATTATTATTATTATTATTATTATTTATTAATATTAATATTTTCCTGTAATTATCAACGAATGAAATAAATCAATCGTAATAAACCGAGTGAACAATTTTTATATTAAATTCTCGCAAATTAGTTTTAACAAACATTACATTTTTTTTTTTATATATTTTTTTATTTTTTTTTTTTTTTATCATCGAATAGGATTTTAAATACTCCAACGATTTTTTTTTTTTTTTTAATGTTATCGTAATAATATTTTAAACCATCTAGTAAATATTTAACGCTCGTATTCAGTATGTGTAAATAGATAATAAAATGCATGTAACGTGCATGGATGTGTTTTTCTTATCATCAAGAGAGAGAGAGAGAGAGAGA